TTTTCAAGTAAGGAGTTATCATTAAAATTTCGCCAGCTGGTATTTCCTGGCGACTTTACTAATAAATACAATCAAACAAAATCATCATGCAGAACTAGCTAGGATTTGTTTTACATCATATATCACAAAATTGCTTTCGAGTGTTATGACATCGTCTCCCGCAAAGTTTACATTTTGACATAGGATTACGTCTCTCGGAAACATATTGGGGATGTAATTAAAAAAAAAATCAAAATCGACCGCGTTACCAAAAGTGGTTAGGTTTTGACCACTTATAACTCTGTCAATAGCGGATGGATTTTAATTCTAAACAAGCCAATCGATTGGTAATTTTTCTACAAAGCTGTTAAATTGAATACTTTTTTTAATTTTCAATAGGTCACTATTGAAAATTACACAAATTTCAAACTGTTGCAATGGTTATCAAAATTATCACCTATTGCCTGCAAAAAGTGGTTTTCCTAACATAGTCGTCAAATATTGATACCGAGCACGTAATCCTACGTCAAACCTACGGTCGAGTCTTGGATATAACCTCTTTCTTTTTTAGTGGTAGTTTATTCATTGTTACATCAATTGATTGCGAATATGCGTTATAGCAGGACAACATTCTATTCAAAGGCCCATTTTTAGCATAGTCTGTTCTTTGATTGTTAACGTAAAACAAATTCCTAATCCTCAGAGAGCGAGTGGGAGCATAAAAATTTATATTTTCTAAAATTTCCGGAACATTAACTCTTTGAGCAATAACATCATTTATAAATGTCACCATGACGAAGTCTCTTCGTTTTTCCATTCCATCTAAATTTATTAACAAACATTGTGATTCATAAGATGGAAGTGGTAATCTCGTCCAACCTAATTTTCGAAGGGCAAACTACAAAAACTGTTTTTGAACAGATTTAATGCGGTTTATATATGTATCCTGATACGGAGCCCACACTACGCTACAGTATTCAGGAAGAGGCCACATACAATGTTTTTATAGAGTAAGGATCATTGAAGTGCATACTAAATCTTTTGATAAACCCTAGCATGTTACTTGCTTATACATAATGTTATTGTAGTGATCAACAAATGATAACTTAGAGTCGAGAATAATGCCTAAGTCCCTTACTTGATTGCACCTTCCAACTGTTTTCTCACCAAGGGAAATTGTGTCATTTACTGTGGCATGCTTTCTTGTAAACGATATAGAATTACATTTACTAACGTTAAGGTCTAACAAATTCTTCTTACACCAAGTGTAAAAAATGTCAACTTCTTGCTGAAATAGCTGCAGATCAGATGCTTTAGATAATGTATCTGTCCATGAAAAGTTTCATGTCGTCTCAATATATGCAACATGAAGCAGCTTCAAAACGTATTCTATATCATTGACAAATAAGATGAAAAGTAGTGGACCAAGATGCGAACCTTGGAGCACACCAGATGTTACATGAACGACAGACAACAATTTTCCTTCAAATCTTACTCTTTGCGTTCTACTTGACAAGTATGACTCGATCTATTGCATTAGCCTGGTGTTAAAACCTAACTTGGATAACTTGAAAATCAACAGTGGTATATCCACTTTATCGAATCTTTACTAAAATCAGTATATAATGTTTCTACGTAATTTCCCTTATCCATTACATTTAAAGCATATGCTACAAAATGTATCAAATATGTAGCTGTAGATAGACCTATAACAAATCCATGTTGTTTACTAGTAATGCAAGATTTAACTTGGGAAAATAGGTTGGCATTAATGATGGACTCGAAAAGTTTAGGAATGGTAGATAATATAGCAACCCCGCGATAGTTTGTGATATCCAATTTGTTTTCCCGTTTTTAAAAATAGGGATTACAAATTATTCCTTCTTTATTGGAAGCAGAATGCTGACGTTTAACGATGAATTTTGGTCCAAAACCAAAATAAAGGCTTTGCTAATTCTTTTGAAAGTGTTTTAGAAGAATAGGTGGTAAATCATCTGGACCAGCGAATTTTGACGTATCCAAGGACTCAAGAGCATGCAAGATTTCTTTGAGGGATAAACTAACATTTGGAAACTGTGTTTTCCAGTTTGCTTTCAACTGTCGAAAGACGGAAGCAGCAGTTGTATTCGGTGTCAATTACGCTGTCGAGAGTTCGCTTACTTTTTTTGTTAATTAGTTTATTTGTGCAAGCTCAATCTAATAAACTTTACAGAGCCAAGTTATCATTTTCTTTATACATTATAAATGTCTAAATTCTAAAATTAAAGGATTTGAACGATTACTCGTGGTCTTCTCGAGGTCAGTGGATGACAATTGTTTGGATCGAGAGAGGGCAAAGGAGATTTGGAATATAATTTATGATTAAAAAATTTCGCTATTTCTAAAACATGTACTTAATCCTATCGAAGTTATATCAACTCTGTAATTATACAATTATTACAGAAACAAATATACAAAAAAAAACACACACACACAATACAAACTAAACACAAGGTAAATCAAACTTACAATCTATGGTTAATATTCTTAAAGAAAACATATAGATATATAGATCGCGTCTAGCCAAAATATCCCGAACTGGGACATTAGAGTTCGCTTACTTGATACAAGCTATTCACCCATACACTATAATAAAAATAAATTTACGGCGCCGGTGGTGTAGTGGTAAGCGTGACTGCTTTCTCACCCCAATGGGTCTGGGTTCAATCCCAGTCGAGGTCGGTGGGATTTTTCTGAGGCATAAAAATCTCTGGTCACGTCTTCCTTCGGAAGGGAAGTAAAGCCGTTGGTCCCGGCCCATGTGTGTTGATAAATGGGTGCGATATCCTACGCAGGTGTGGAAGCTGCCTTCCTGCACATTCGATTGCCGTCAAATGGATGGCAATAGATGTGCGTCGGTGATTGGCACTAGATTGCGGAACAGAGACCGACGTTAAATAAAGGAAAGTATATATAAAAATAAATTCACCGGTCATCTAATTAAGCAGTTGTAGGTTAAACAACAAAACAGATTAACATTAAATTTCGCATAGTTGTTTGTTATGGGCAATCATTCTCATTTGAGCTAAAGTTCAGGGATTTTGGACCTTGCATTTTTTTTCAAAATGGCGTATTTTACACTTTTAATCATTTAGCAGCGCCGGTGGTGTAGTGGTAAGCGGGATTGCCTCTCACCCCAGTAGGCCTGGGTTCAATCCTAGTCGGCGCCGCCGGGATATTCTGAGGCATAACATCTCTGATCACGCCTTCCTTCGGAAGGGAAGTAAAGCCGTTGGTCCCCGGTTCATGAGTTGATGGGTCGATAGGTAGGGTCTTGATGTGGGAGCTGCCTTCATGGTGTCAGTAGCATTGGTGCTCAGCACGGAAAACAAGATCGATCGAAAACAAACCAAGGAAGAAAAAAAAGACAATTTTAATCAAAATGTCGTCAGAGATAAAATTACGAGAGCACTAATGTAATTTAGAGAAAATTTTCTTGTTCAATATTAATAGTTTTTTTTTAAAGCTTGTGAAAATGCAAACTTTTTAAATATTGAAAACCATGGACACCTATAAGTTAACAAAAATCGTAAATCAAAAACCATATGTAAATTTTTTGGTAATTTTTAGGTGCTATATTTTTGGGCAAAAAACGATTTTAATTTTAATGCTAAATTTACAGGTTTTATGTGTCAAATACATAAATTACAACCGCTTCTTGTATCGAGGGTTACTTCCACTCACTTCGCTATAATAAATGCTTCTAGAAATTATGGAACCACCGGATGCTACAATAATACTGTGTACTTGCCTTCGGAGGCGAACCAGCCTAAGGCTGAAAGCCTCCTAAATAAAGCTAAATTAATTAATTGTGTACTTGCCAGACACAAGAAGAGGTTGGATAGCATGTATTTGACACATAAAACCGGTCAATCTCGCCTTCAGTGCGTCACAATCAGCGAATTCACGACTTGTGAGCGTTCACTAAGAGTGAGCGCTCACGAATCGTAAAATCGCCGACTGTGACGAACTGAAAGAAATAATGACAGGCCTCATGTGTCAAACACCTAGTTTACAACTCCTTCCTGCAACTCACAAGTACCAATCATCACTACAACATCCAACGACCACACAATTCCGAAAAACAAGTTTTTATAGCAAGTGAGCGGAAGCAACCCAGCCCACAACATTATATCATTATAGTCCCAGGAAAGAAAATATTTGATCACTTTCATTACATGGAACACAAAGCTGAGAGCAAACGCAAACGCAAACGTTTCAGAAGGAATTTAAGAAGAAGAAGAAGCTTTGTTCAGGAGTTCTTGGAAATTCTCAAACAAACAATATTTTTCGACGGTCTGCAAATCTACCATGCCTACAGAAACGTTCTTCATAACTCAATTTAAGCCTTTGCAAATCACCACGATCGACACCGCTGCTTTAAATCACTAATAAAGATTAAACAGCGAACAATCAAATTACAACCAACCGTCACCGTCCACGTTTACTGGTAGCTCTAATCTGCCACGGAATTAATTGCACACCACCCACCACCCGTGAAAGGTGTTGAATTACCATTGGAACTCTTTTTTTTTTGCCCCGCTGCTATTAATTCGAACAAGACCTCCATCATCGTCGTTATCCGCCTTCAATTTGCTTGTTTGAATGCTTATTTCGTGAGCGCACCAGACTGCCTGGCAGAGTCGTTTAGCATCAACTCAACCGTCATCGCCGGGCTGCAGTTCACTGTTTTCAAAGCTGTTACTAAATGAAGTAGAGTCGCTCTCAGTACCTGTTGCTCGATATTTCGGGCAACCAGCACAATTTGTATCTTTATAGTGGTTTTGTAGTCGCTCAAACAGCATGAAACGTGATCCCAACTGAAAACGAAAGAGCTCGAATTTTAGAGACCGAGAATGAAACCCCTGTCGGTAGGCACGCTCGGAAACATTGATTATCAACAATGTGCTTTAAATGACGCTTTGTGACGTTCATGTGAACAACTTTGCTAAAGCCGATCTTTTATCCTACTTTTTCTACAGGTCCAGCTAGACAACGACAAGTGTCGTCGTGAGCGGGAATCACACCTAACCGGATCCCGGCTAGATCTTGCCGGCCTATGCGGAACACGGAACACGTCCAGGTCCAGCAGAACAAACATGGTCGATTCACACGGCAACGCTCTGCCACCGCTCAGCCCCTCCAGCAATAACAACTCGTCGTCGTCGACGTCGGCGGCCAGCGAGAATGAACAGAAGCCAGTACCCCTGTCGCCCAGTGGTAAGTGATGTGGTTTATGAGATGAGGGATTGCATGGATGCCTGGGATTGCTTGACTCCATCACACAAATCGTACCCAGCTGGGAACGTTTATAGTTTCCGAGACTCTAAAACTCAGGTTACGTCTTTTTTCGGAAGGGTAGTAAAGTGATGGGTCCTGCATATGGTGAAAATTAACTGACAGAACTCCAAGCCATCAAAACTTCCTTAAAGAATCAAGGGTGCAATCAGCGTGTCGATTCATGGTTGACATGGTTGGTTCTCAACAATGATGCAGCCACCATTAGAAAGGTATGGCTATCTTCTTTCATTTGGAACAGATAAAAACCCGATTGGACGTGTGGTTGGCCAGCCGGAAAGGAAAACCCCGGAAGAGTGCCGTGCAAATTGCGTGTCGATTCATGTTGACATGACTGGTTCTCGGTGGGGTTACCGGGTCCTGGGCCCACTTCAATCTTTTTTTGATATTTTTTGCAGACAACCATGGCTTCTTAAGAGCTACTCTGCCATTAAGACCTTTCTTATGAAGACGATTTCGTACGGATTTTGATGTCAGTTGAATGGAAAACTCGCTTTTAATCTGTTTCGCAATTTTCGGAGCTGATAGTCCCCGGTCCAGCTCCGCCTTCTTCATGATAGCTCTGTCAATTCGGCCAGTTGTCTTTGAAGGACGCCCCGATCGCTTAGCTGGTGAGATAGAACCACGCTTTTTGTACATCTGCACAATTCTAGCGACCGTATCTTTGTGAAGCTGGACAATATCGGCAATATCACGGTAGCTTTTGCCAGTTTTGTGATGTTCAATAATCAAATTTGGGATATTGATCGTTTAGGCATTTTGCAACAAATAACTTCCAATTTTGAACACGAAACTGAAATTTTGAGCACGAAAACTTCAAGAGCACTAAATGACAGCTAGACACAATGTTTACATTCGAGAAAGTAGCAGAATACACACTAAAGCTCTGTAAAACACACTTAAATCGTAGTATCCGTTTGGGGGTGGATAAACTTTTTTTGCGTAATTTTTTGCCCTTTTTCATAATTTATCACATGAAATCTCAAGCAAAGATATAAACGCCGTATTTTCAATGGCAATGTGATAAATAAACACAAATTGATAAATCATGGAGGAACACTAATAAAATTAAACCGATTTTCACCAGCAAAAACAAAACAAAAATGTAAATTGGTGGGGGTGGATAAACTTTTTTTGCATACTGTAAATTTCGATTCCCTGAAATCGACACATGTAAGCGGCCCGCATAAGAATCAGTTGAAAGAAACGTGAAAATCAATTCAATCAAACGTTCTCTTCGTCGACTAGCTGAAACTAGTTGGTTTGAGGACACTTAATTTTACATGAAACGTTAATTTACGTTCTATGATTTACGTCCAATATGGATTACGTCTCGTGTAAAAGTAGTTATTTCTAAGTGTGTACTTTCGAACGAAACAGACAGGCAACCGATTGAATATGTGGTTGACCAGTCGTAGAGAGATAACCCGTGGGAGATGGCTCTCCGGAAATTCGGATTCACCGGGAAAATGGTCAATTCTTGAAAGTAGACCTAGAGACAGTGCTGATAAAAATCCTTTCTTCTACACTCAATTTAGCTGAAAATGAAGAAAACCTTAACAGATAGACCAACTACCTGCATGAATTTGAATTTTGATATAAACAAGTTCCCTTGATCTAGGCAACCTCTGAGTATCAAAAATAACATTTGTTTTTCTTCATTCGTGGCTGGATTCTCATTATCGCCTCTGTTGTTGTAAATATTGATATTCGTCTTCATCTTGGTCGGGATGATATTGAGGATCAAATGCAAAATGATTATTTTCATTTTAAACAAATATAGCGCTAAAGAACGTGGTTTTTAGACATAAGTCGACGGCAAATTATTGCCTCAAGCTGAACTGATGATAATATCGATGATTTAGGCAGTGTGGTCGACAATATTCAAAATAATAATTTTGCCCAAAATGTCGTTGATTATTTTGCTTTTGAGGATCACTTCTGATTTTGACAATTTTGGGTTTGATAATCGAGCACTGGTGAATATCAACAAACGCGTATTCGTTGATGTATAATAAACTCATTTGTTCATTTCGCTCGTTTCGTAACTACGAAGATGTTCAAAACAAACGCAATTCATCGACACTGGCTTGAAGAGATACTCCTTGCATGTGATGGTAAATGATAAAAACAGACACTGCCTAGAGATCCGTGATTTTTTTTTTTCTAAATAGCATACAATCATGAGCATAGAGGAAATATGCCATCATCATATAGATTCTACAACCAGGTGGCAAGAAAACGGTCCTCTGCATATCCGTAATCACCGGGAAAATGTTCAATTCCTGGAAGTAGACCTGGAAACCTTTTTTGACGTAGACTACGTCTTACAGGAAGGTACTGGAGGAAAATCTAAAATAGCGACCGTCACAAAAAGGTGTAAGGTTTTGAAAGCTTATAACTTTGTAATTTTAAGATGTAATACAAATACAAATACACCAATCGATAGGAAAATACTCTCAAAATCTGCTAAAATAAATGCTTTTCCAATTGTTCATAAATAATGTTGAAAAATGTACATATAAAAAGTGATAATTTTATCACTGTTTTCATGAAATAAACGCTCTCCCTCGCGTTCTCCCCAAATCCAGTCGTCATAATTGAGTACCAATTGGTTTCAAATCGTGCTGTTTGAATCTGAAAAGTTATAAAAGAGCACTGCTTTTGTGCCTCAACTTATTTTCGCTTCGGGCGGCGGGTGAGCAGGCAGCAGCAGCAACAGTATGAAGGCAGCGGTTCCTGTCAAGCGCGCAGCGTTTGAGTTCTCTGGCTGCTGGCAGCGCCGTTGCCTCGATGGCACAATCGCTCTGAAGTGGATCATCCTCCTTGCCTGAATGATAACGATCCCGCGTTCTATAAATCTCGATTACTTTTTCGAAAGGACATATCAGCTTTTGTAAACAACTCATTTTATCAGCGGTTCAGCCTAACTGATAGATCGCCCACGCATACGAAAACCACTATATCAGGTAGGGGAAATTTTTCCTTATCTTATGGTAATGTTAGCATGCGTGGGTGAGCTACCAGTTACGCCAAATCGACGATCAAATGCGTTGTTTACAAAAGCTGATACGTCCCTTTGAAAAAGTAATCGAGAAATAATTCTTGGGTCGAGTTAAATTTAACTCGTGGTGAAACGTGACATTTCGAAAGTTATTTACAATGTTCGAAAATCCCGGAAATTGATCAGTTTTCAAACAGAACTCAGTCACGGTTGCCAAAATTTAACTTGTAGTCGGTCAGAAATAACCAAGCTCGGATAGCAGGGTTATTCATTATATCATCTGTCACTTTTAACCACGAGTTAAATTTAACTCGCCCATTGGGACACAGCCTTGGAAGTAATATTAGGGACCATCCATAAATGACGTAGAATTTGTTTGACTAATTAACCACCCTTTCCCCTCGTAGCGTGTTTTGCTATACCTAATACATGGCTGGTCACAACTTCTGAAAGCCCTCTCCCCCCTCAACTACTACGTTTTTTTTTTGAAAGTTCCCGTCATTGCCATTGGGTAACAGTGAAAATCAGCAGCACACACACACAACGGGTTGAACATTAATGCGAAATTTCGGTCTTGATCGTGAATATCCCGCGACCAGAACATTTAAGCTTGGAATCCCTCCATTTAAGTCTCGGTACATCTTTTATCTATTAGTGTTTTTTTTTATGTTTTAGACTTCGTGCATTTTGTGAACGCACGTACATTATTTTTCATTCGAAAACAGAGTGTTTTTGTGGTGAAAAAAAAGGATCTCCCTGCACAGATTACAGCACTGAAATGTACATGTGCACATGTGCACATGTACCAAGCACTGAAATTATCAGATCGTACCTCTATTTAGAACGATTTATAAAATCCCGGATTTTTTGTTGATGGGGGTGAGGCATAGCAAGCCGTTCGATTGCATAACTCTCCAAGTAGGTGGGACTTACGATGCTTCTGTCTTAGAATAAATAGAGGTACCGTCGAGTTTTTTTTTTCAGTGATGGGTACTGAAAATCGGCAGAGAGCGTTCAAAAGCGCCTACTTGCAATGATCGATTCTCTTCATCGATTTTCTCTTTACATTGCTACAGCTGCGCTAAACAATTCAAGCTGAACATTGCATTAGGTCCTAAGTAACATTGGTAAGATTATCTTCGTTGGCTTTCTCCTTGTATGTCCCTCAGCCATGTGAAGACATTCTCAGGTATTTTCAGCACACAGATCGATAAAAGAAGCTTTTATCAAGCATCTAATACGACAAACACAACAAGAAACGGTTATGTACTCACGTTATTAACGAAAGAGAAAACCGACGAAGAGAATCGATCAATGTTATTTAGGACCTAATGCAATGTTCAGCTTTAATATTATCTGAAATTTGTTCAATGTAGTGCAGTAACAGAAACAAAAGAAACAGCAAATGCACCGAGAAATTCTAATCCAAGCCAGTTATTAACAAAAGAGAAAATCGATCATCGCGGTTACGTCAAATTTGTAATCTGTGATAGATATGGAAGTTTGTAATCTGTGATAGATATGGAAGTAATTTTTTTCCACCACAGAAACTCCCCGTGTTCTTAAAGGGCGAACACGAAATTATTGCGACACCGAAAATGTCATGCCAATTTTCTTATAATGTTTAGAATCAAACCAAAATTTTAGGGTAGTTTTATACATATATTTACTTCAAAAATCAAAAGAAAAGTTAATCGATGGAGCCTTGAGTGTAAAATTGAACGCATTTTCGCTTGATGCCCTCCATCAAAGTCTTTACAGTGTCATCCGGTACCAGTTTCTCAGTTTTTTTTTTCATTTTCTTAACATGTCCTTCTCGTCTTTGACTGTCTTCTTGCTCTTCCGAAGTTCCCGCTTCATTATTGCCCAGTACTGCTCCACCGGGTGCAGCTCCGGACAGTTTGGCGGATTCATGTCC